GCTTCCAAGCCTTGCTGGGTCTTCTCCATGACCACCTTCCCTGTGTCCTGCCGCATTCGATGCTCAACAGATGCTTAGAAAGTTTCAATAAGGAAGCCTTCTTTGCAGCTCAATGCTTCGGGGAGCGTCCTTAGCTACTTCGAGGCCCTTCTGTACGCGCTCGTTCTCTGCGATCTCCGAAGCTCTCCTGCAGGCTGGCAAGCGCATATTGTAAAATGCTGGCTGGCACCGAGACTGCCACCGCTTCGCCTTTTGGCCCATTCCACGCTCTGCTGGACCTTTTCATTCTCTGCAACTTTCTGCGAGACTTCCTGCATTGCCAGACGCGCTTGGGTTGTAGGTTGCAGTCTAGTGCTTCGGTGGATGGGGGAAATCTTGCACCGCCTAGATGTTGACGCATGATATCGCCAACCACCAAAACCCCGGACCCCCTGTTTAATTTTGATGATAGTGTGCCATGTGGCTGGTGCAAGGCTTTTGTCAGTGGAACCCACGGCCCATCCCAGGACTGGACATCAATGTTAAACAGGGGGTGCGGGGTGCGCACATTGTGGGTCTTCTCAAACTGGCACAAGATTTCCTCCATCAACAGTTGCAGTCATCGGATATGCACTCCAGGATGCTCCGAGCACACAGGCTCATGCACATGAGGAGACCCGAACTCTGGCGGCCTTTATCCTCTCGACCCCCTTCTGCACAGACCTTGGAGTCGGCCACATAGTATGTTTAGGGGTTTCGACTCACACACTCGCAAAGCAGGCATGGCGCACGACGAGGGGTTTACTGATGAAGCCAAGCCCACCAAAGCGGAAAGCCAAATATGTTTCAAGCCATGTCGTTTCCAAGACCGTTCGCGTTTGATCGCAATACGAGTGAGGAGGATGGAAACTTTCAACAGCAGCAGTGGTAGTCACAAAGCTGTTCAAGGCCTAACGTTCAAGACTTGCTAAAAGGTGCTGCGAGAAGGGTACCATATTGGGCCCGGGCCCTCTGCGGGCCTCTATAGGCCCTCTGTGGGGCTTTACGGGCCGTGCGGGCTTTACGGGCCCTACGGGCTGTACGGGCGCTACGGGCCCGGGCTCTACGGGCCGTACGGGATGCACGGGCTCTACGGGTCTTTACGGGCCCCTACGGGTCTTTACTCTGCGGGCCCTACAACCCTACATACAGGCTTTATGACTGGTACTACGGTTAGGAACTACTCCTACTACGACGACGCATGGCGCGGGCTTGCTGTCCGGCCATTTCAATCCCTTGACCAGTGGCAGGACAACTCTGATACGGCAGATGCTCGTGGTTCTCCAAGAAGCAGACTGACACTGCAGCCAGCAACTGCGCATGCACATTCGCTCACCCTTCTGACGTGCAGTATTAAAAAGCAGCCAACAGAAACCACCAACATCAGAAACTAAGGCAGCTTGCCAGGGAAAGCAATTATGAACAAACCACAATCAACCTTACGGGCTAAATGCTGCAGGCAATTTTCCAAGAATTGTGTATTTGTATGATACCCTTTGCAGTGTGTATGTGATGCATACACGACATGCACTCAGCGAATGCATGCATTCAAACATGGCTGCACGTATGTTTGTGCGTATGTAGGTTGGTTGGTATGTCTGCGTATGTTAGAAATGCATGTGTGTGTACACACACACGGCTTTCGACCGCGCCAAAGTCGCACCGCACTTCGGCACCCTGTCCGCGGTGGAGGTCACGCTTCGCCGGTCCCGAAAAAAATTGAAAAGAAAGTTATGCTATATTTGTATGTATACATGTATGTATGTATGTATGTATGTATGCATGCATGCGTGCGTGCATGTATGTATGTATGTATGTATGTATGTATGTATGTATGTGTGTGTGTACGTATGTGTATATGTAGGTGTGTGTGTATATATGTCTACACACACGCACATGTATGTATAGTGAAGTTGTCTTGTATCATAGACTAAGACTGCATGTATCATAGATACAGATAATGCTAGTACTCATATGCATACTCATAACACATAGTGCAAATGCGAAACAAGTGAGAGCACGAGTACTGTAGCAAACGCTGTAGCGTGTATATATATATATATATAACGTGCAAGCCTTGAAACACACACACACACTCTCTCTCTCTCTCTCTCTCGCTCTTACTTATATATATATATACCTATGTATATTTACGGTGATTTTTAACACAGCTTCTAAACGCATAAATACACACATGTCCGTATAAACATACAAACCATAAATGTATGTGTGGGTGTGTGTATGTATGTATGTATGTATGTTTGTTTGTTTGTTTGTTTGTAATGAGGCCGTTTGCCTCACCGACTGGGGTCTAGGCTCGAGCTCGGTCACCCGCTGCACTGTGGGCGCCACTTTGTCCTGGCAACTTGGCTGGGCGGCAAAGGCTTTTTCTGGCTGTTGCATTGACATCAGCAAAGGCTTTTGGTGGGAAGGGCTTGGGACTTTAAGGGGTTTTGAGGGTTCAATTCTTCAGATTAGGGTCCTGTTGTGGATTCTGGGGGCTTTCGCCACTGCCTCACGGGCAAGCTAGGCGAGGTTCGAGCAGACGGGTCAGAATGTGACCTGAATGTGACTGTTACATTGCAGGGCCCAAGGCTTGGCAGCCCGCTGCCACCCCTTATCAACGAAGTTTTCGGGTGTTACGTCTCACCTCGGATGCATCCAGATGCAGAACAGGCAGAGGATAAACGAGGGCCCGAACGCTGCAGTTCAACCTCGAACTTGGATCCCAAAAGCAGCAGCATGTGGGCGACGGTGTTCACAAAGGTCATGCCTCAATTGCAAACCTCCCCCCAACCACCCACCCAAACCCTTTTCCCAAAAACGGCCCATGCGGGTCCCTGAGTCGGCCGAAGAGGCCTTCACCATGGGCCTCCGCAGCCTGTTCATGCTGCTGGAAACTCTTGTAAGTGTCAGGCTTGTGCAATCATAATCATCGCCTGTGTTAATCGCAGTGCATCTTGCCTGACGACTCGCAGCAAGCATTTGCGATAACTACTGGTAGGCAGCAGTAGCACTACCAGCAGCAGCAGTAGCAGCGGTAGCTGCTGGAGTTGGAGTAGTAGTGGTGGTGGTGGTGGTGGTGGTGGCAGTAGCAGCAGGAGTACTGGCAGTAGTACCAGCAGCATTTGCAGCATGGATAGCAGGAGTAGGGGTAGTTGGCAGCAGCAGTAGCAATAATACTACGTAGAACGGCCAATCAGTCTCCCGTCAGGCGGGTTTAATGCGGCTGCGAAGCTGCCCAGGTAGAACCAGCAAGCTTGTCGTACATCTACGTACTGAAGATCCAAATGCCTAATAGTAACACTCACGTAAGCACCTCAAATGAACACAGGCCTGCGCGGACAATTCGAGTCCATCGGATGCATCCTCATGCTCTATTCCTGAATGGGCTGGATCCTGCAACAGACGACGTCAAAATACCGTGGTGCTTTCGGACACGATCTCCGGACAAGCTTAGTCCTGTACTATTCGCCTCGTGGCCGTTTGGAGCTCTATTCTTCTGACGCTCGACGAAAGTTTTGTAGCGGCGGTCCTGCGCCGGAGGTTCAGGAGCCTGCGAGTACTCACTCAAGTCGCTGGACATGATATTGGCCAGAAAAGGGTCGTAGCCATTACAGTTTACATGCTGCAGAGAGTCTCAAACCACGGCTTCTGCCAAGGCACCACCTTTCTTATCCGTCTTTAACCCACACGCCTGGCCAGGTTCGCCTGCAGGCGCGGCCGCAGGTGCAGCTGGGACTCCCTCTGGCGGGGCGCTGCTGCCAGCTGCGGCGTAGCCGCCTCCCTCCTGTTGAAGCAGCTGAGGACGGCGAGTCTCTCTGCGATAAAGCGAATCCACATGTCGGCCAGCTTTCCGCCTCATCATGCCCATGAACAGACGTCACTACCACATCTACCACTGCTTCCGGCTGGTACAAACTGAACGGCCGTCCTGCACTGGCGCTTCAGTCATCTGCCAAGATGCGAGGATTCGTGGCTTCAGGGTGGTCGATTCGGGTGGAGCAAGGGACCCGACACTCACAAGCTCCAGCCATCGACGAAACAGTCGTACTCAAGTAGCTGCTAAAAGCGATGTATATCGTATGCAACTAAAGGCAAGCGCTCCAAGATGCTCCAAGTGTCTCCAAGTTAGGACTTCTCTGTCGAAAAAACAAAGAACCGGAGCAAGACTCTCAATCCCGAGACCAAAACAGCGATCATCCAGGTGGGAAAACCGGTTGCAGCTTGCTCCAAAAACGCAGAGCCTGGACTTACATCAGTGCCCTTCCTTCGCTTCTGGGTACCAGACCATGGTGCAGGAAGCCTTGCCGCGTGCAGGCAAGGCCGAAAGCTCTTGAGCCAAGGCTACTCAGACCAGGGTTGACTCATATTGACTTGTGCAAAGCCATGTCTAGAAGTTCCAGCTTCGTCTGCCTCTGCAGATGAAAACTCAACTGACTCACGGCTGCAGGCACTGCCATGAAAAAACTACCGTCGCGTCCGCACAGCGCTCCGAGCTACTGAGAGAGCAATGTTCCCCCAGAGCAGCCCAGCACAGTGCTTGGGCACTCTGCAGGACTTCGCTTTCGGCTGAAGGGTTGGCAAATTGCTACTTGTGCACGCATTTCAAAATACCTTCGACTTTACATGAATGTACTGCAAGACTGCGCTGGGCGGCATGTGGGCAATATCTTCTTGCCATCCTTTTTCTGCGCAATTGGGGCCAGAGTAGAGGGGGAGAGTCTGAAACGTTGCAATTTTGCAGGCAGGGAGCACTTCGACATCCACGTGGCCGCATTGAAAGATCAGCTCGAATAAACTTCCAATCAGTTCCGCGGGTAGCTGTGTCAGCTATATGGCTTCGATTTCGTTTAACACTTCGCCATCTTGATGCCGTGCTCACCCACCGGCAAAACTACCTCGGCAAGAGAGGCAGGCGCAAGCCAGGACGTGGCACGAAAGCGAACTTCCAGCCATGTCTAGCCTGAGAGTCCTGCACACTAAGAAGCTGGAGCAAACTCCCAGGCACAATCTCGGTGCTCCGGCATCGAAGGCCTGGGCCGGGCACTGAGCTATGAATCGCTCGTTTGGATTTGTCTGAGTCTGAGCGATACTTAAAGGAGAGAAACGCTGCATGTATGCTCTCTGACTTGCCGGGTCGGCGACCATAGCTGCAAGGCATTGCCTGCGTAAATCTCAAACAATGACAAGCAGCATATTCAACACGTGTGCTTGGGTTGCAGAAACAAGAAACCACACCTGCAAACTGAACATGCGCCCCTCCCGAGGCCAACACTCATGGCGCTCTGCGAAGTAGTATGGTCCCCCAGATGCTGGCTCAGCACTGCCTCCGCAAACAAAAATGCTTTTGCCGAGACAGGGCTTTCCGAAGGCTCGGCTGGGCACCGTGCGAGATTCGCCCAATACTGCCTCAGCTTTGGGCGTGCTCTGAACACCCCTGCTCGGTGCTCTGCCGTGGATAGGTTGGAGAGACTGAGTTGCAAATCATGGCGATTCAGCACCGGCAGAGGTCAAAAAACAACAAAAGGCCTCTGCTGCTTGCATCCAAGCTTCGGGTTATCGGGGTTCAATGAAACAGCTTTTCGGACGGCTCGAGCCTGTGCGAGCTCACGAAGAATGCACATGCAAAACTTCAGCGATGCCTGACTCCTGCAGCCTACCATTGCTCTTGTCCGGTACCCAAATGTCCATAGCGAACTCACAATGAACTCTAGGGGCTCTAGGGAAACTGAGCTTGATCCGGCACCCATGTCTGACAGATCTCCAATCCAAAGTGTCATTCAATAAGCTAGCCAAACTTTTATACGAACCCGCATTCACAGTCCGCCAGCTGGATTCTGGGCTTGCCACGCCATCGTGCAAGTTCATCCTGGAAGCCTCGCACTCTATGCAAGCCATCCACGAGCATAGCAGTGTGGCAAGGAGCCATGTACGACAAGAAGCTACGAGCGATGCTAGGGGTTTGATTGGCAGTGCCTTTCCGTCTTAGCAGGAAACAGACATACGCCACCGACTTAGCCCTGTCACAAAGGTTACTTTTGGGGGCAAGACCAGGCAGCAGCCGAGGTTGTTCCAACCCTTCGCAAAGTCCGGGTTGAGCCTCGTTCTTGCGGACACACTGAGCAGTCGCTTGCAACAGAGAGGTCCTGATTCGGACATAAAACCGAATACCCCGCTCTTCTTCAGAGAAGGGTATGTGTCTTCCTCCCTTCCATCTCCTTCTCAGAGCCAGGCTGAAGAGCGATTTGTAACCTGCCCACATGCAGGTGTCTTTGCAGGTCAGTCTGTGACGAAACGGATGGAATCTGAAGCAGCAAAGGCCTGGTTTCTGCTTGGTCGATCTTCCTTTGAAGGATGACAAAGCATGGTAAAGAACACCACAAATGAAAAGGCTGGTCTCCCTGGATCTCTCTGGCCAATTCTGTTTCGACCTTTTTGCGGGTTTTCCAACGCAAATTTAATTCAGGCAGATGTCCCGTTCTGAAACATGGCCAGCGCGAGGTCGTGGAACACCTGCCGCTGTTTGCTTTTCAAGCTGGATGTGACTAGAGGCACTTTGAGATAAAACCACTCCACTCCATCACTCACTCACTCACCCGTCCCTATGTTCAGGTCACTGTTGGCGACGGCAGCGCGTTTTAGTCCAATTCCATGACAGCATTCTCACCAGATGGCTTTCGGAGCAACCAGCGGCGGTGCTCCGTCCTTGCTTGTGGTTCGACCTCCCGTGAGCGATCATCCTGGATGACCTGGATTTGGATATCTTCCAATGCAGGCTGCGACCAATCTAGGTCCTGGAACGGGTCGAAAAAGTGTTCGTCAAAGAAGGTGACGCCATGATGCTGCATGTCCGTTGCTTCCTCACTTCCTTCTGTAAGTGGCAAGACCTCTGTCTCTAGAGCTGGCAAGGGCGCAGGCATGCCTAAGGCCTCCTTCCGCAGGCGCGATCGCTCCTCGTCACGGTGCACCCAGCCATACCTCAGGTGCCCAACCTGGCCTCTAGACCAAGAGCACCAAGAACTGCCCCGAACAGTGAAAGCGAGCCCCGCTCCATTCAGCTAGGATGTAACGTGCAACGAAACTGCTGGCCGAAAGGCCAAACGTCACGATGCAGGGCGATACATGCAAGATAGATATTACAAGCAAACCCTGAACATGTGCTTGTTTACACACATGCAACATCGACCATAAAGCATGGAAGATCATGCTTATAGAGAACTTATAGATAACGTGGTACACGTGCTCCACGGCCGTCTTCGCAGCGGCCGTCAGCTCCATGAAGGCAGAAGCAGGAATTAGATCCTCCAGCCCTGTGCCTGGGCAGTGTATGAGATCAAGAGCAACAGTAGCAATTACTACTGTAACCACTGGTGAGGGCGAGATGTAAAAAGAGATCGAGAGCGGGGGGCAGGGCCAAATGGGAACGATTCGGACAGCCTTCGGAGGGCCATGGAATAACTTAGGATGGTGTTGCCGGTTGCACGGCGAAACAGGAGAAAGGACTAGCTCAGGCATTTGCTTCGGGAGTTTCCTGTGACATTTGCATGTTTGCGGTTTCCCGGACGCCACAAGCAGTGAACACTTTCGCGCTAGGCATACCCGGAAAGCGATCTGCCATTCTTGTTCCTTGGATCTAATCTTTCTATCTGTTTACCTCCGAAGCATACACGACAGCCACTCGATGCAGTCCAGAAGACACCGTGGCGCCGCTGCTTTCTGAGCCCTCCGCTCTGCGCAGCCGCCAAAAGTCTTGTTGTCTGCCCAGTAGCAATATCGCAGACACTTCAAGATACGTCCCCCGGAGTTCCTTGCCTGCACATTGAGGCAAACATCCTCAAACAAGTGCAATTGCGGCAGGTACTCCACCTGGAGCTTGGCGAGCTCAACCAGGTTTAGCAGGACGACCTTGAAAACAGAGGTGCTGTCCAGAGCCCACTGTGCAGACTTCATCGGAGCTGTACCATCGTCGCGTAGGAAGCCGCAAATTGCACAAGTTCCCCGCGAGGCTTGCTGTTGCACCGCAAGCATGGCTTCAGCAAACATCGCGCCATGGCAACGTCGCTCGCTTTTGCGCCCAGCAGGCTTGGAAAGAGACGTTGCCGGAACAACTATGCCGCGACTCTGGAGCCGCTCATCTTCCTCCTGGAGAGACTGGTCCGAGAGAGGATTAAGCCGGTAGAAGCTGGTGATGCTATCGTCTACCAGCCAGCAGTACCGCATCTGCTGCAGCGCACCCAATTCATGACACTGCTCCATCCGAAAGGCCGAGGAGACCTTCTGGATGCACCACCTTACGAAAGCTGGGCCCATGTCGTTCTCTGGCAGTACCAGCAAGGGCAGGTCCGCCCAGGCTTCACGGTATTCTTTCGCCTCAGACGGCTCCACGACGGCCACCACCAGGGCAGAGGGACTTTGCCTCTGCCCGTCGCTCTGAAAGGCTGCCGGGCCAAAGCAGTGCGGAGCCCGCCAGTTCAGGTGAGCAGCTTTAGCACGGCCCTTGCTTGGAATCAAGACTGGGTACGGATGCTGTGGAAGAGATGTCGAAGACTCGAACCACTTGCACCAGTCAGAGAGGGAATTCACGGACTCTTGCGTAGCCCAGAACGTGAGGCGCAGTGGCTCTCTGGAGCCATCTCGAAGAGCATATGTGACTGGTTGCTTACCCTCCCACGCAATCAGGTCCACTTCCTTCAAAGATGCCGCTTCCGTGTCCGGCGGCGTCTGCAAAGCCTGCCGAAATCCGTCTTGCTTGAACTGGCCCCATGTGTGAGTGTACCTTGGGGTTCTCAAATCACATACTATCAGCCGGGTCAACTGCACTGAAGAAACAGACTAGACACAAGGAGCGACGACAACCTGCCAGGAGAGCGAAAGTACCTGCCTTGAGCAATCTTTTGCTTCATGTTCCGCGACCGCTGAAGGCCCAGCACTTTGGCATCCACCTTCCCATAGCGCGGAGACACATGGAGGATGGCCAGGGACCGCTTCCCGGCCGGTTGCAGAGTCCTGCGGCTGTGGGGCAGGATGAGCAGCTGTCTGTGTGTTGTGACAAGTGAACAGCTAGCCAATAGCTGCGCTCTCGTGCAAATCATTACCGCTTCTATACAACTGGTGCTTGTTTTTGCATGCTACGCAACACAAGGAAGCAGATGACCGCCGAAGTGCCACGGAAGCATGCGCAGAGGAAGATGTGTTCCGTGTTTCCCCGTCACTGCACACAAGCCAGACTGCAACTAAACTAGATGCAGAGGGTGTCATCTGCAAATGCCTGCTATGGCTTGCTCTAAGATTGTCTTGTGACCTTAGCTTTGGTCTAGAAGTCTGATGCACTCCCATACATCTTGCCGGCACGAAGCGCCCGTCCTCCTTCTCCAGGTCTTCAGCTGAAAGCGCATCCGGAAGCGCATCTTCGAGTGAGCCATAGCTGCGCTCAGGGTGGTCGTTGCCAGTTCCGCCAGGACCTCAGCTCCAAGGCTTTCTGGACTAGGCCGAGGACACCAAGCCACTTTTGCATCAGCTGACTTACATGCTGCAGGTTGTCGGACGACTGTTTCCTCATTGCCGACCGTGCCTACACCCCTCAATGATGTTGAACGATCGGCCGAGCTCGGGCCAAGGGCGTGCAGTTTGTCATGTAACACAGAATTGAGCGTGTCTTCAGAGTCATAAGCCTTCAACCTTTTGTGGGTCCTGACTGCACACGTAAGACTCGAAGATAACTGAGAAGAGACCCCCAACGAGACGCGCAGGATTGCAGCACAAGGCATCACAGGGACTGAAGTAAAGAAACACTGTTCCATCGAAGAGGCCTGCCGCGAGCTCGATCGCGGGAGGGAGTTGGGGGCCAGGCGGTGTTGCTTGGGCCGAGGGCAGCCGCACCTCAAACTGTTTCTCTCATGTTGCAAGGCGCTTCCTGCTGGGTCTGGGTGAATGTTCAGAAAGCCTCCCCGCCACACCCTCCGACTTCCAAGTTACTTCACAGCAGCTCTACTATTGTTGAACATGTATCACGCGTCCATCTGTCTGATGGTCTGGACACTAGACCGTCGGAGGAGTTAAAGGCATCGGAGCGCGATCCTGCTTCGCGATTTCGGGCCGCAGGAATTCTCGGCCCTAACAGGGGCAGGGTGGGACTTAAACCACAATACTGGTTGTAAGCTTGACCCAAAACCTCATGGCACTCTCCGACCTTCGATTCCGAAAGGGTGATACATCAAGGGCGCTCCCGTTCCAAAGTTGCCAACTGCTCGTCGAGCGAGAAAAGCTGAGATTCCATGGCCTGGGACACAGTTCTGTGATGACAATACAAGTCGACGACATTATTTGTGTACGATAAACCCGCTGTCTGCTCGATGCTCGGCCACTCAACGACTTCGCACATACCTGAAGGCTTGCGTCCTTCTGCTGGAAGGAGGAATTCTGCGAAACTGCTAGGGGGAACCGGGCTCCAGTGCTATTGCTCTGCCTTCACCTGCCGGCCCACAGCATGCAAATAGCGCCGCTGAGCCCTCGCCGGGCCGTGCAGCTCTGGTCGCGCCATCTTCGGCTGCCAGTCGGATCCGAACTTTGGAAACTTTGGAAATGCTATCTTGTGGAGGAACGTTATCCGTTATACTCTTGTTTCGCCGTTATACTCTTGTTTCGATCATTCTGGACTCCATCTTCCTCGGGCTTTCATGTCGTATGTGCGCGGGGCTGCGCAGGATGCGAAGAATCCACGTGCTTGCTGCAGTGCGAGTTGTTTACAACGAGACACCCTGAATCACGGCTACTACAGTACTTGGACTGCCGTCGGCCCGCTGGAGGATTCAGGAACTTTCGCATGGTGCGTTCAGTTGTGGATAGAGGAAAATACAGAATACATGGATCAGAATGTCGACCTTCAAACCACGTTCAGTCGCACACAGCAACAGCAGCTATCTCCAAACCAATCTCGTAGCAGCGACCAGGAGCTCGCTACCTCCTCATCGCGAACCATCAGGCTTGCACCAAACTTCTCAATCGCGGCAGAAAGCCAACGCTCCTGGACAACCAGAAGGGCGGATAATGGCCGATATGTGACATCGGCCACTACTGCACTAACACCAGCTAACACCCACGCAACGGCTCAATGCAGCTGTTCAGGGCTCGGCCGCCGATTCGAAGCGCTGTCGGAGGATCTCGATCTGTCCAATCCGGAAGAACGGCCTCGGAGAATGCAACAAGTCTTGGAACCAGCTCTGTCCGGTCCTTTGGGATAGGACCAGTCACTTCCGTCTGTAACTTGCATGTGCCTTCGAAACAACAGGCAAAGATTGAGAAGTGCTTGTTCGATCCTGCACCATACAAGTACTTTCAAGTTCTGCCACTTTGGAGTGCACAAGGCAAGGAAGCAAATCATGCAGGTAGCCGTACAGTTTGACTACTTGGAGGGTGTGCACGGAACTTGAACATCCCCCACCTGCCCTATTATACCTCATACGCACCATGAGGTCAGAAACCATTGCTCACAAGACTGAGTGGGCGGAACCCTGCACCGCAACCAAAACCCCAGATACGGTCATGGGCCCTGGCAGTGAGCTGAGCGGATCTGCCCAAGCGCAGCGCACCAATGCAGTGACTGCAGCATCCCACTCCTGGCGGACGACGCTGTAAGGATGGCTTCAACAAAATCGGCTGCTGGGGAAGTTGCGAGGCTCTGAGACCCTCACAGTCAGGGACCGTGCGGTTATTTGCATACTGGGACCTGCCCTGCTGGGTTTGCGGGCTTCCCCACAAAGCAGTCGGCAAAACACGTGCTGCCAGACTGGTTTGTGTACAATAGAAGGCCCCTTGGCCTGCGGCATGACCGTTTCATTGGAAATCCATGCGACTGTGGCAGTCTAGAGCACTTTACAGAGCTTCCGATCCCCGCACAGGACCTGCAGCTGCATGAAGGTGATCCCGAGATTGAACTGCGAGGCACTTCACAACGGAAACAAGGTTGACTGTATCAGTCAGGGCGCAAAGTCAACGACACGAGGTGTTGGACCATGCTGTCATGCTACTGCATGCTGAACCGGGCCTGCGTCTTGCTGGAGTGAGGCTGACGCTCTCCATCCCGGATGAACAGGGTCTCCGACTTGGCGAACAACATGATCTCACGCTGAGGTTGTCAAAATACCGCTGAGGAAAAGCCCAGCAAGCAGAAACCAAACCTGCGTGTAGCTTCTGGTTTCTGTAATGCTTCGGTATGCATACGAATGACGTAGGAATAACATGTGGGCATGCATACAGACGTCTGCATCTACACGTGCAAATACAAAAGTCTGGATTGTCCGTATGTGCTTGCAAAACCTTAAACGCGCGAAACAATAAACACATACATGCATGCATGCACTAGTCTAACCTGAAAGGTCGCAACAAGCGGTAGTCAGCTACGCATACATGCAGTCGCCAGTGCAAACTCTCAGTCGCAGCCATGCTTCTGGCGATGAGCGCCATTCTTAGAGCACCCTAGACCCAAGTGGAAACCTCACATCTGAGGCTCCTGCATCCTGCCAGTCGCTCACTCGTAGAACCGAGCGCAGGGTGAGGGCTGCGAATGCGGAACAAACCTTGGGACGACAAGGGTCAGAAGAGCAGCTGCCTCAACAGCAACAGCAACAAGAATAAAAAGAATAATCAGACTGCTACTACTACTACTACTACTACTACTACTACTCCTGCTGCTGCTGCTACTACTACTACCACCACCACCACCACCACGACCACTACTGTAACCTACCACTGACCTACCACTATCACTACAATTGCAACAACAACAGCAGCTGCTACTACTGCCACAACAACTACGACGACGACGACAAGCACTACCACTACCCCTGCGACTGCTGCTGCTGCTACTACTACTACTACCACCACCACCACCACCACCACCACTACCACTGCTTACCACTGCTACCACTACCACTACTACTACGTCTCCTACTACCACCACCACTACTACTACAGTAATAACACAAAAAGAATAACCATAAGCTTAATGTTGAGAATGAAGAACAACTTCAGCAACAACCAATGCAGATCATGGGGACGGTCACGCGCACAGCCGCAGCAGAAAAGCTGAAAGAAATTAGTTACTCATTCTGTAAGGAGGTGGAAAAGTCAATTGCAATTGAAAAACGATTCTAGAGCAACAGCTGCTCGTTAGACCCCCAAACAAGAGTATGCCGCCATACGCTTTCTGGGGCCCTGGCCAGAATGACAACCTTGAACGCACGTCGCATCGCCTGCAACAAACAGCACCCATTTAGCCTCTCGTGCTCTCTCAAGTATTCCCTGGCCTACAACTTCACTGCGCTAAGTGGCCGAAACCTGCAATCCAAAATCTCAATATTGTGACCTTTTTCAGATACTGTATATCTTTGCTTCAAGATCGTAGAAGCCTCGGCGCGGCCGCTGCCGACCCCCCAGCTGTGGATCTGCTGCCCAGGGATCTGCGGCTGTGCAAGCAACGAGCGCTTGCTGTAAGTCTTGTTTTCAGGCTTCCGCGTGGGATTCAATCACGACTTTAAAATGTGGCGGTTGTCTGAATCCCCAGAATGCCTGAGGAGCACCGGCACGACTGATGTGCCGAGTGCCGTTCTGCTCTGGGCCTTGGCAAGAGAGCGCAGGGATCCATCTACTGAAATGTTTGCAAACATTTTTCGTACTGCATTGGTGATGGATACCTTAGTCTCCGACGTCGCGGCAGCACCCACGGTCTACTCTGAGCACCCTGAAGGTAAGAGTGCAGCACCTCCGAAAATGATCACAACATCGCTTGCACTGCGACCCTCGATGTGAAGCTTGACTTGCGTCTGCGCACCGCATTCAGAGCATCCAGAGCCCCTTCCGACGGTTTCCACAATGGCAAACTGAATGCATCGAGGGCGGGGCCACGATGACAACAAGGCAGAAGCCAGCAGATGGCACATAGAGCAGGCGCTCTCCTACAACCTTGGTAGCGCCGGATGATAAAGATGCACCTAGCACAGGCAGCATCTCACTCCTTCTTGGGCCCAGACAGTACCTACTGGAAAGAGGATGTTGCCTTCAAGAAAGCAGGTGCGCAAACTCTCGAACGGCTTGTGACAGCAATCGTAGCAAGACCGTGACTTCAATTCCGGCAGCCTGTGTTCCTATGTATACTTCAACACACTCGCAGACTGGGAAGCGGACTAGCCGGGAGGTAGGAAACAACCTCTGCATGTGGAAACTTCTCCGAGATCCAAGGGGTGAGTCTTGCGAAGTTTCAACGATGACAGCAGCAAAGACCTTGGAATGCCAGAAACATAACACTCCAGTTTAGACCGTTTACAGGTCGTGGACGCAGTAATTACGAACAGAGTATTTACCTTGCGACAAGCCGTCTATGGAAGCCCGGCGCTTCCGAGCAGGAGGGCGGGTTTGCAAGCCTTTCTAGCGCTCGCAGGCGAGGTTTGGGGCAGCAAAGAAAACATATGAGTCGATGCTTACTCCTGCCAACACCAGTGCCAAATAACACCAACTTGCGGTGTCTGTCATCACTTCCATTCTTGTAACATCTTGGATCGGAAATGCATGAACTGCAAATGCTGACTGGGGTCTCTTGAATTTTAAGCATGCTCGTGAGACTTCAAAGCTCAGAAGCTGGTAGCGTGGGCCCAGAAAGATCATCGGAAACACCGGACGGGTGCCGGCAGATTGCCTGGCCGTGCAAGGCTCGGAAGAACCTGAAGGTCCGTGCCTCTCATTCTGATTGCCTGCTTCTGCTGTGCCTCGCACGGCCATGTCCAAACCGTATCTACACCATCTTCCGGGATCCAGATGCACATGTAAAATTTACACATGCATCTGGATCCCGGAAGATGCTGACAGGCTTCCTAGAAAAGCTCAACTAATTTCACATCTTTGGCGGAGTTGGACCAGACCAGTTGGTCGAAGTCAACGCTTTAGTTGACTCAACTAAAGCGTTGATTTCGACCAATTGGTTTGGTCCAACTCCGCCAAAGATGTGAAATGTGGACTCCTCTGTTTGCAACTCCACCATGCAAATATTCAAGGTGAAACGGCCAGAGGCCGTGCGCATCTCCCCGGTTGAAACTGAGAACCCAAACCGCATGGCAAACAACCGTGGTCTTTGGGCTGGGTGTCGTACTTCAACTGGAACATGCCTCCTCTGTCAGACTTCTTAAAATTGGCATCGGGATTTGCCGCACCCCAGTTACACCCCAGTTTTTGGGGAATGCAGTACTGGCCAGCTCCTGAGGTTTCTCATCGGTGCACGATGAGTAACCTCAGGAACTGGCCAGTACAAGGGTGGTACAAGTCAAACCCCGGTGAGATGACCTGCTTGTCGTTGCTCCGGAGCTTGCGAGAGTCCACGAAAGATGTGGATGCTTGGTGAGTCCTCGGGTTCGGTGTGTGGCATCCCAAGAAGCCGCGCAACCTCACACACGTATACTCGGGTGTCAGGGGACATGGTTCGTTTGCAGCTGGTAAATCCAGTCAGCCATTCCTCCACGGTGTACTCTTGAAAAGGGAAGTACACCTCCGACTCAGCGCCGAATGGAGCCTCACCGCTGACCCCGGTAAATGAGGCAGCATGTGGGCTAAGCGTTGACGGAACCACAGGCGCATTCGGCAACTGCACCTCGGGCAGCTTCTCCTCCGGCAGCTCCGTCTCGGCATGGTGCTGGCACACTCTCGGCGGCAGGGAGACACTGCGACGGCCCGGCTTTCCCTCCTCTTCCTCCTCAAACTCCAGAAACCCCTGTTTTCCATGTCCGGAGGCATGCAGCTGGCATGATGAGTCAACTGGTGCGGGCACAGGTTCCGACTTGCAAGGGTTGAGCCAAATAACCTTGAGCCGTAGCCATTTTGGGATCCTACAATCACCTGCAGCTGCCTGTGTACTTGCGACGCTTGCGGCCTTGCAACCGTTGGGACAGCTGTGTACAAGCTCGGCCCACGGCCAGCAAAGCGAGCGCGATGAGACCAGCGCGTCGATGCCGGGCCGGAAGCTGCCTTGCTGGGGAGAGGATTGCCGCACAAGAAAACTTTGCACAGGCATTCTGTAGGCATCCTTAGTCAGTGCAGCTCAACATGCAGGCTCAGACTAAACCGAGAGCAAGATGGTTTCAAATGCCCTGACTCAACGACTTGACTACACGGGCGGGGGCAAGCTGGGGCCCTGGAGGTGTTGCAGAGATGTGATGCTGTGTCAAGCCGGGGACGCGCAAGCTACCATCAAAATACATGGCAGACTCAAATTCCGAAGCGGCGAACCTAACTATGTTCTTAAACCAGTCTACTCGAGTACATCCCGTTTGAACCATCTCCTGCAACCCATGCACTGAACTGTCTGTTTCCCAGAAACGTCCAACATCGGGGGTCCAGGCATGAGGAAGCTGACAGTTCCGATTGCACCCACATAGGCGGCCAATGGCAGGAGCATTCGGCAATCCGTCATCTCACGCACCTTGACGTTGGGCAAAGACCCCCGAGCAACATGTAAGATTCAGCACCGGATCCCCGCAAAGATGGTATGGACAAGATGGAAGATTGACTCGCATACTCGATCCGGAGTACTTGACCGACAGCTCTTCAAGCTTAGTCAGGTACAATCGGGATGGCATCCATGGAGTAGTCGTAGCCTTGAAGCAACTATGAAGAAACAAGAAAGTTTACGCGCTTCATCCATTGTAGGCTCCACTAGTTCCTTCTGAATCCTCTCGCTCAGCATGCTTCGCAGAAATGCAGAACCATCATCTCGGTTCCGCACACAGATACTGTGGCCAGACCAACAGCCTTGAGAAGCGGAAGCCCCAAGCGCTGCATGGCCGCCCTCATCGCACCACGTCCAACTCCAGACGAGGCGTTGACCGCATGTACACGCCATGCAGGAAAGAGTAGGACAGCACTCTGGCCTGCAGGGTGACTGAGCTCTGACTTTCGGCTGGTGGAATTGCGCCGTGTGACAGACACGAAGCTGAACAAATCGCACCACTGCACAGATACAGGCAGAAACCACCTACTACTTCCCAGCACTTCACTATATGTATCTGCATGTATGTATGCTACCACCCGAGGTGCCTTTTTTGCCTGAGTCTCTACGGGGGCAGAGTTCGAATCGGTCCGAAATCGGCCACAGAACTAGGCCGGGATCGAATTTTGGACTTCGGAGTTCCGCGTGGAGGGCAATGCACACTACGTAATTGTAACATCTTGTAGTGCACAGGCATCGTGTGCATGTGTGCTTGAAGGTCAAAACTATTATTATATATTTGTCTGATTGCTATGACATCATGAACAAATGAGTTCTCATGTATCTTGCGGGGACGTGTATATGAAATTAGAACTTGACTGATCATCCAACGGTCCATTTGTTTCATTTGCTGGTGCCAATCCAAGACTGCCTTATGATCCTACATTTATAAAGTCCCCCACCCCTACGTAAAATTGTCTTTGCAGTTAGGCTCTGCGTGTCTGCCAACGAGTGTCCGCCCACCCTCTGAAGCTCAGCTAAAACATGCTAAAACCCTATCTATACATATATATTATGTATATATATATATATAAGTAGTTGGCAGTTTTCATCGGGAGCTCCCGGAAGCCTTCCACTCCGACTCGAAGCTGATGGGATTGTCTTGTGGCGACCTGGGAGGGAACCACGTGATGCGTGTGCTGCGTGTGCAATAATAGTAATAATAATAATGATAATAATAATAATAGTAGTAGTAGCAATAATAATAGTAATAATAATTTAGTAATAATAGTAGTGATAATAATAGTAATAATAACAGTAAAAATAATAATGGTTATAAGTACTATGGATACTATTCTTATTGATTTTATTATGATTCGTATTATTAGGTGAACCTGCACTGACTGGGCCGCTCGCATGTTCAGCTTGGTTCCCCCAGTGTGGCGATAGCGGGCGACGAAGACACAGATGGTGCCTTTGATGCCAATTGGTTGCCAGTGGCCGACACACTCAGACCCGGAGTGGTTGGGGTCAGCCGGGGAAATCCTGGACTGCATCACCTGCGAAATCTGGTTCATGACGCGGACCTGCACACCAGATCTTCCAGGCTTCTGGCTGGCCAGCAGTAGTCCAACCCGTAGCCTGCACCAATGTATCCCTTATTATCCCTTACATCCTAACTGGACAGCAGTCCTGAAAAGTGAACGAGACGTCATCACAAGAGGCGGGGGCGTACAAGCTGAAGATTTACTCGGGGGAAACATGTGCAGGAATTACGGCAGCCGGTAGCTTTGACAGCTGCTGCATCACCTCCGGACGATAGGCAGACTCAGACCGGGCAAAGGCGACTGAGACGGATGCCGTCGGGCTGGACGGAGCAAGACGGCAAGGCATCGCTGAGATCGAAAGATTCGAACCATCCGCGTTTCGCAAGCCAGCCTCAAGCGCCGAATGACACCTGAGCTGTGCTTCACAAGGGAACCCGCAACTTGCTTCATCGAAACCATGGAAACCCCGAGGCCAGCAGTGGACTGTGGAGTCTGCGTTCACGCAGGGACGGGACAGGATCCCGGCGTCGTCCCATACGCTCTTTGTGATGACGTGCTAGGGCCTGCCCAGCATCGCGCTCTTTACTCTTTCCCGCGTTGCCGGCACTTGAAGTCAACAGGCAAATTACTGATTGCCGGATCTGGTCTTGGACCTGTGCTGTCAGGAAGTCCAGCAGCTCCATCAAGAAAGGAATTGCGAACAGTGTGAAGCCGGACTCCTGCGCCAGACATTGAGGTTGCCTAGCTTGGCCATGCACTCCGGGAAGAAACACACGGCTCCACTGCGCCATACGATTTCAACCAAAATCGGACAAGCCGGGGCCGCCTTGCACAAGCCGCTGGCCTGCGCCGCAGGGTTTGCATGAGTTTCCATTACAAGGGCTTGCAGAATCCAGCTTTAGGACGAACTCTGAAGCTCGGTCCGCTCGGTGCTGATGGACAGTACATGCACCCCTTAAGACAGACGTCACACTTCTGGGCTCCTTGCGATGATCAGTGCCACCGGCACGGCTAGCCAAACCGGATTCTGAGACGCACCTTGCCAGGGTCCATGTGAAGTAGCAGCATCTGCAGTAGAGAATTGAGATGGTCAATTCTGAGAGATGGATCTCGCCTTCCACATGCAGCTTGAGATCTATTATGGTCTATTCAGGAAGACCGATTACTTAAGACGTCCATCATGGGTTCGAAGTTTGTTTGGACGATGTGGCGAAGCTCAAAGCACATCAAGCAATCTCTTGCAGGGAAGCACAGCAGACTGAAGTTTATCCCTCAAAGCGTCTTCTGTGCCTTCAGGCAGAACCCAAACGCTAAACCGCCAAGCTCAACGACCCACCTTCGCCCAGAGAGGGGCTGAAGCAGTGCGAATCGAAAGGCCGCACTCGGAGGCTCGTCCAAAGAGGCCTTCCGACGCGGGAAGGCAAACGAAGTCTCCAGGCCGCAAGATTCATGTAAGTGCTCCCGTGATACTTGTCGATGCTTATTTTCAGGAGATGGAACCAGCGCAAAAGAGAACACATCGCACTGTGGCCCTGGTTAGGGCAGCTGCAGGCGCATCGTGTTCCAGTCCTTGTCGGGTGTTCCCCGATGATCACCTTTGGTGATGTCGTATAATTATGTGCTTAAAACTGGCCTGGCAACTAAAGCGCAGCCAGCCATCCGTCCCACACTTCACCTATTGCTCCTCAGGCGTCCACTCACTGGGAGGTCTCTCAGCCTAAGTGAGCTTTTGCAAGATGAATTTGGTAATACGTCAGAGCCCCTTCAAGTTCTCTAAATTTTGGCATCCGCCTCACGAGGTTTTCTGCTGAAGATGATGACATCCTGACCGATACTCTTTTTGGCAGCGTTCCACTGAGACGTGGGCTTTCGCTGACTTCTTCTTCCTGCTCCTCCATACTTGTTGCTCCGTCTGGGAGGTCGTGAAGGGCATCTCTGAGCTGGGACATTGCGCACTTCCACTGCGCATCCACAGCCCGCCCGTTCACATGCGTCAGAACACTGCCAGGCTGGATGGCTGTGAATGCAGAGAGATCTTCACTCACATGAGTCACCGTTAGCGGGCTAGAATTGGAAAAACGCATGCGCAATGGCTTTGACCTCAGAGTTACTTCTGCCATGGTTCCATCCGGCCGGGCGAAGGCTAAGTGAATTCCTTCAGTGGCATGCGCGTGATGGCCTCCCTTGTCGTCGCTGTGATCTACAGGACAACGCTTTTTTTGGTCTTGATGCCCTTCACCATGCACTGCTTCTCTTGCGCCGTGTTCTAGGCCTTCTGTCGCCGTGGTTGCTGCCGTGTCGTGAGAAAGACCTCCTTGTGACAGCTCTGGCTCGAGGGCAGGCTTGACCACGTCTTCGGAAGCATTATTGAGCTTGGCCGTATCGACTTCATGCAAAGCCGGTGTATCTGACGGCACATCACAGCAGGCGAAGATCATGCGTCTCTTGAAACGAGACGACTCAGAAACCGGGTGTTAGAAAGCTCCCTGGTTGCTTCTACTTCAGGCTCACTTGAGGCATCGGGGCTGAGGAAATTCGCTTCAGTTGCAACCAAACTCGGCCGCACGATGATTCAAAGATCCCGGTTGCATTCTGGAGAAAGGATCTCTGCACATGTCAGGGAGGCCTCAAGGAACCAGGCGGGCTGAAGAACATGCCGTAAGCATTTATGGCCTGCCATTCCGGGATGGCTCTGGAAGATTGGATTCCAAACTCAGCACCCCGCCATCAGCCCCAGAAGGCAGGCTAGGATGTCCTTGGTGGCAGCAGCAGTGGGTAGCGGGGTTTGGAGTTTTACGAAGGAATGCTGCATGGATAGCAAGAGAAAGGACACAGATGAAGAGAAAGAAAGAACGAGAAACTAAGATACTGTACTTAAAGAGTAAAGAGAGGTCATCCCAGCAAGGCACACGAAAACCACGCCATCAGACACACGGCTGCATGCGGATCGACTTCGACAAGCTGCGGTGCATTCAGCCGCCGAGCCCATCACGCTGTCACTGGCACAGAAGTGCAGAGGCGGATTGACACACGTGAGACACAAACAGCATGCAGGCAGACCGACTGTCAGGCCAAGCGGCACACTGGCACAACAACCTCTGATCATCGTGGCTGTGTTCATACTCCAATCAATGTCTGCACCCCATGCTGCCTCCGGGTAGCACTTAATCGCACATGAACAGCGGCAACCTTCAAATCTTGTACAGTTGGCAGGCCGGAACAGGACTGACATCACGCCGACAGATGTATGCGCAGGATGCTGGTGGCCGTGCTCTGCCAACCCTCTGCCAATCTACAAGATCAACCATGGAGCACCTAACACCACCAGGCTGCATCTTGCCGTCAAATTCTGCTGGCAGTTCGTAGGGTTGTTGAAAAATAATCAAGAGCGAAGTGCAACGAAGTTCTGGGCTACATCTACATTTACTTTGCTTTTCTGTTATCACAACAGGGGCAGGCGGTTGGTCAGACCCTGCGCCCGGCCCCCCCGGAGTGGCGCTCTGCGAAGCCTGCGCCCTACGCTTGGTTGCATCTAGGTTAGGTTGCGAACTTCTGACATCCACAACGGTTCTCACCTACCCACCCGCACACATGCAAATGCAGGTACGGCTCACACACAAACACAAATCCACGCACAAGCTCCGACACACACACACACATAAATATAAATATATATATATACACACACACACACGCACACGCACACGCACACGCACGCGCACGCGCACGCGCACACGCACACGCACACGAACACACACACAACCAGAAAGCCAGCCAACCAACCAAGCAACCAAGCCCAAGCAGCCAATCAACCAAGAAACAAAGCATTATTATGCATTATTGACAGCCGTTCGGCACTAAGCCCTCGGCTGCACGACAGACGAGGTAGAGGACCTCGGATGAACAGCAACTCGAGCCCCGAAAGATACGGGTACCTCGTTTCGACTGTCACGAAGCGTATTTCGGCATGGACTCGGGTACGCTTCGTGATACAACCAAGACGTTCTAGAAGCTTGGCAACCTGGATCACTGAAAGCCTTGATCTCGGGTACACCTTTCACTGCAAGAACCTTTCAAGCATAGCACAGCCTTTGGGTGGAGAGAAGAGGTCACCTGGAACACGCTGTAACCACGGCATCATCTGAGGCGCAACGAGACCCCAAACCCTATGTCTCAGTACTCCCAACTTGGCAGCACGCATTCTCTGTGTGTACGGGATGGATCCCGAAGAAGACAGAAGCCACGGCCTGGATAACTGAGCGACTGCGTGCTTTGAGGGTCTTCCGTCGACGCTGGCCCCCCCCATACCCCTTTTTCCTCGGAGTTTCGGACTTCGCTCACGGTACTGGGTCTGCTTCAACTCTGGGTCTCAAGGTGGCGGTGGCACATACATTCTTTGTGCTGCGACGAGGACATCCAAAGGCTAAGCGTGGGACTGCCCAGGAGCCCGGAAAGCCCAGAGCCACCGTCGCCTCGTCTAGAAGTGGCTGGTATTCTCTCCTTAATTTCCTGCGGTGGACTAGCTCGACCACTTTCCAGAACGGATGCTTGGACTGCTGAGAGCCCAGCCGTGCGTCCTCATGGCAACTTACCCGATGCGGCTAAAAGCTCCATGTCAAGTGGTGCTTTAAGATTGAGCTCAGTATGTCAAGGCAAGTCGACGAGTCGACACAGGCCAGCTGTGAGCTACACGTCAGTTGTGTCCTACGAGAAGCGATGTCAAGCTGTGAAGGAACACGTTCGTCACCTCGGCCAGCACTTTGCACTCTTTTCGATGTAGCTTTGGAGAATGACGGTTTCATGAAAGTCAACATGTTAATCGTCTGTGAGACTAATTGGCTCGGCATGTTTAGCAAGGCGATCAGAATGACTTCTGATAACTCCGGGCACTTGAGTGAAAGCTCGAGGCTCCTGGTGTGATGCTGTCACATCATGCCTTTAAGAACCGCACGTGGAATCCGGACGAATCGAGCCCATGCAGAAGATAGTTCCATCCTCATAATATGCTCGTGATGACAGGGAAGTTTTATGAAGGATGCAGGCACTTGACAGTGCATGTTCTTTCCAGCGCAGAATAACGCCGTAACCGCCTCTAGATTGCGTTTATCCGCTGTTCGGGCCGCACTCGCCTGAATTCGAAACTTGCTCCCCAAACTCCGAAACCGAGGCGGCTCACGGAATGTCAGCGTGGTGAGAGGCCGAAACGACTTGTTGGTCCAGCCCGACCTCAGTACTGCAGCGCCGAGCGAGCACAGCAGCTACCGAATCTTGCCCTCCATGTCTTTCGACTCTCGACGTGGTTCCGGACAGGTTTGCCACCGGTACAACCAAAATGGTTCTGAAAGCCTCAGATGACGCAGACTGAAGTGGGTATGCGGCCTCGATTGACTTCGGACAACCCCAACCTCGAAAGCCCGTACTTCAACCCCAAGCCCCAAACCAGACATTCAGGTGCTACCCGAAAACAGAAACCCCAAGCCCAAAGCCCTACCTAGACTCGATCCTCAACAAAACGAAACCAAACCCTTTTTGCATCCAGGACTCTCGCAACCAGCCGGGAAACCAAACCCTACACCCTAAAACCTCAAAGCAAAGCCTCTTCCGTACTGAACTGGGGCAACCCTCCCACAGACATGAAAGGCCAGGTCCAAGGCAGATGGTTTGTCTATACCCATACATATATACATGCATGCATACATACATACATACATACATACGCACATATACACATTCATATACACATACATACATTCATGCATACATAAGCCCGTACCTACATGTATGCTTGAATGATCGTGCCTTGTATTATGTTGCACCACAACCTGGTGCGATCTATTGCTAAATTACATTGCATTACCTGTTATTGTACCAAACATATTCTATGATATGGTACTATATTACGATATATTACATACTAGCATGACATTTTATACCGTACAATAAACGTCATACTGTATCATACTGCAACATCCTGTGTTGTATAGGGTTATCTTACATCACATCATACCACGTCAAATCACGTCATACCGTGCATCATGTATCATATTAATATGGCAACACACATACCGCATATACCATTTACAACATACCATATGTAACCTATCGTATACCACATATCGCACCGTGTCCTAACGTGACATCTTGTAGTGTGTCATATTATGCTGCATTACACCACGTCACGTTCAAACGTACCATAACATATCATATCCTGCCGTACCTAGTATATCAAATTGCTGTATGTTATGGTACACTAAATTATTTTCGTGTCCTTCTATGTTTTGTGAGAGGTACTGTGCTATGTCTATTGAAGCTTGTTGTTATTTTACATTACAGCACGTGTATGTTATGTCTACCGGCCAGAGCTTTTGTATATGCATAGATAGAGGGTAGATAGACAGACAGATGATAGCGATTAGATGGGATAAAGATAGGTAGATAGATAGATAGACCACAAAGGTGCATCGGGCCTTGGGGTTTTCAGGTCGTCTGGGTGTTTATGCTGTGGCAGGCAGGGTACCGATCAACTTTCCTCTTGCTCGCAGCTGCTATTCACACCGATTCACATTTACTTGATCTTCTGCTGCACTTAGACCAAACACATCATCAGCAGCTGCGATGAGGCTCCAGCCCGTGCATCGGAAGGCCCCAGAAGTCTCTTCGCATCAGCTCGTTGAAGGAGAAAGTCTCCCCAACCACCTCAAGACGCAACAAAGCCTGCTTCAATGCCGACACACTCTGGACTGCTTGCAGGAAGTAGCACAACACTCTTGGGCGATTGGTCTGGAACACATCACACACGAGCAGGCTGAGCATGCCAAGCTCCTGGCATTTGGATTCCTGGAAACACCTACCGTGTCATCCATGATGAAGCCAGCATACCTTGCATGGGGGCAGATTGTGGGCGATGACCGGCATTCGTCTGGATAGAAGATGTACCTTAAAAAAAGTGCATGAACATGCCGGCTTCTCTGCAACTACGTACAAAGACCTCACAAATCGGAGGAGGCTACGCCTCACGCCATATCTGTTAATGGGCTTACTGTATACTGAAACTGACTGCCAGTTTGGCAGAGGTCGCCATGCAGAGATGAAGCACGAATCACTAATTAAGAAGCCATAGATTAAGCCATGGGTCATGCTCACCTCCGAGGCTACAACTCACGCTTGCGCACTTGCGCACTTCTTACAAACACAAGGTTCCAAGTTCCAGTTAAAGTGTCCGAACCTGCTCCAGTGAACAACAAAAATAATGCTCCGAACCAGCTGCATGGAGCACTCCAGTGCGGGCACACTTTTTTGTGTCGATGAGAGTCAGAAAACTGGGCAACTGGCTGTACGCAATAATGAAAAGGGAACTGGTGTGCTGTGCTGTACTGAAACTGGGTCTACGAGTTTCAGAGGACTGGTCCGGCAACCGCTGCAGCTGCAGTGGTTCGTATCTCATGTGTCGCGCACCGCAATCTGGGAGTGAGCGTGCGACTCGGGTCGTTGCCTCTACTATTCGGGTGCCTGAGTTCAATGCCTCTGCTTTGGGGGGGCGGGGTGCCTTGCAGCGGAAGCACGTCTGACCTGTGCTCATCTGGCGCCAGCGAATTAATCTAAAAGAAGCCTGGGACGAGATTCACACGTGACCTTTCACTTCGTTCTGCCAAGTACATCGCAGCCACTTCCTACGTACAGAATCTACAGCACCCTTGAGCCAACTTCGGCGCACACCGCCGTTGGAAGTGTTGTTCTGAATGGCTGTGAACCCTAATTATGTGTGAACACCGACACACACACAGACACGCATGCACGCGCACGATTTAAGACGACGGAAGAAGCGCCGTCTAGGCACTCTGTCATGCTCCGGTTTTGTGGGAAGCGTAGAGTCTAGCGTCAGTATGCTACCGATACATTCCATGGAATACAGTTATACCGGGAGAGGCTTCGAGTGTATCCGAGCAATGCTCCAGTACGGGACCGGAGTTGCCAGGAACTCTGCCCCTCGGATCCTCTTGGCACTATCAATTCATCTGTGGCCGAGCGCGAATCTGCTACCCCAGAACGAGGCCTGCATCCATCTGCTCCCATAGCAGAGCTCTGAGCGATGCCCACTGCGCAGGATATTTAGCTGTTTTGTCCGTTCAGAACACGGATCTCTTGCAGCCTCAGCCTCATAGCCTGTCTGTCATCCAGAAGCAAAGTCACACGATTCAGACATTGGATACCGCTCAGTGGCCGACCAACAGCACATGCCGGAACTGTCAGCTGAGCCTGATAACATCTTCGAAGACCAGAACCCATGGGACGAGCAGCAATGATCAACACCTAGAAGCATGTTCGCAATACTCAGACAAGTCAGCATATATCTGAAAGACAGAAACCCCTTACAGCAGGCGACATTTCCAATGATGTGGCTTCCCCCTCGTTGTACCCTGCTCTGAAGCGTTTGTGCTCCACATCGGTTTTCCACACCCATAGGAGTACACTCCTCTGCGCTCTCTTTACATTGCAGGCTCATCTGACAAACTGCCATCAGCTCCCAACAAGACATGTTGGTCCGCTACTCTCACGCAGATCCCCAGCAAGCCCCAACGTCGTGCTGGCATGCTTGTCGCGGGCTACAGTACTAGACAGTACTTTGGGCTGGCCAACAGCAGCTGAAATCTGATCTGCTCATGTACTGTAAAATTGCGCGCCATGTGCCAACCAGGAATCTGAGATGAGAGAATCGCAACGACTTCCCGTCATGAAGTCTGGCGTTTGACTGAAATCTGCTGAGTTCACTTTCCGGGGAACTGCTCGCTTCAACTCATTGATAAAGTACCAGGTCCTTCGCAGTGGTTGCTTAGAGCTGCCTCCTCCCTGCACTTGCTCCATGGACGTACACCTGGATAAACGTCATACGACTGGTTGCGGCCGGAAAAAGCATCGCACAAATCGTGATCGGCCTCATCATCTATTTTGCAAATATACATCGGGGGTCTACGTCCTGCACAGCTCGCAGGTGGGGAGGCACGAAATGCCAGGTAGCTGAAGCTTCGCGTGTGCGTCGCATTGCAACTTTAACAAATTCACCCTGCCCATAGTAGCATAGAGACAAGCTCAATCCGCATCCGTGCTTTGCCGGGGCATATACCCAAACCTATGAGACATTCCAGCCGTATCATGCAGGCTACATCTGAAGCTTCAAGCTTGGAGCTCGCAGGCTCAAGTCGTGATCTTGCATCTCAAAGTCGGGTACACGTCGGTCCGCAAAGAATCATAGAATCATAATTCAAACAATGCATGGGCAGGCACCTTAAATGACCGGGAGAGCCAAAAACAACCGAATACCAGGAAGCCTTGATTCACTGTGAAATTCTGTGAAACGCCGTCTCGGCCCGTGTCAAGAATGCTCCCCCAAGTCACGTCAGCTGACAGAATTTAAGGATGCCATTGACACGATTATTTCACAACCTCCTCCGCTGTCACAGCCGGTTTTCATAGCCTCCAAAAAAACGATCGCAGGTGGAACTCGATCCACACCCAAGCGACCCATGGAATGCTTCGGAGTCATGGCCGGAGTAGCATGCATTGCATGGGCGACAAGCAAGGAAAAGGATATGCTGTCTGAGCCAGCAACGCTTAATGGTTGCTTGTCAGAGCGGCTTTGCACACCTTGTACAGCTCGTGAAGACGGTGCATGCCTGCTTTGGCTGTAGCGCTGCCCTCACACTTCATGTGGCATGTAGCATCGCAAGATTCCGTCCACACTTCTTAAGTGCACCATCTCATCATGAAGCCTGAAGTATGGTCACTCTTGCCAAACAGTCCGATGCCAGCATATTGCTCTCTGAAGCGGCTTCAAGCAAAAAGTGCATTCTACATTCTGCCCCTGAAGCGAAATACCCAAGAGTCCAGACTCCAGACTGCCCCTCTTGAGGGACTGATCACCGTGATCCGAAGAAAAGCCCTCTGATCGTGATCCTTTCACATCTTCTCTACGCTTCCATGGGTCAATGTGAGGGCTGCAGGCAGTGTCTGTAATTTCAGAGGCCGACTCTCCCCTTCCGAGCTCTTCCTGTGCTGAGGTTGTTGGCAAGATACTGGGATGACTCAGCTCTCTGCATGGGCTTTTTGTTTCTATGCTTGTGTAGATATGTGAAGCTAGAAGGATCTACTGCACATACTGCACCAGCATGCAGGCTGAACGAATCATCCGAGTTCGAGTGGATCCGAAGTTGACCAACCAACATGCACTGCCCTGTCATGAGTCTCTGAGCCATGAAGGCAAACATGAAACCAGTGCATCTCCGGGATCCACCTCTAATAGCCGAAGGCCGACGCTGTACTTGAGCTGAGATGCAAACTGGCTGCGAACTCACCGCATGCCGTCACGCCACGAGCTGAAACAAAGTTGGCGCGTCCTACATCGTCCTACGAAATCACGGGCCAAGGCCGTCCGTAGCTTGTGCTCGGAGGCCCCCGCCTCGGGTGGTGGAGGATGGTTCTACTCCTCTTTAATGAACCCTGCCAATTACAACACCAGTGCGATCCGAAGGCCACGATGCCACCCGCCACCTCAAATTAAGATATTCAACATTGCAGCACCTAAGTGCTGCAGGTGTTGTAGGACTTGTCCTGAAGTTCCATCTGGAATCTGGTAGGGGCCAACTAGCCGCACGCACGTTTACGATTTCAGATGATCTCAGGGTTTGCATATAACATCATATCATCACGTAACTCGGCATCCGCCACTACCGCATCTAGGCAGCATGAATCGTCACCATTTCATCTCGATCTGTCAACGCGAAGGTTAGCCGCGCCAAGGCCAGGCAGCGATAAGCCCTTGTTTGCTCTGTATGTCGGATGCCTTGCACACTCCATGTTTTCCGTAGAAGCAGTCAGTGCATTCTCCTACCATCTCCGGATCGGCCCAAGGCCCAGCCCAGCTCTGACCTGCACGACATCTTCATAACCGGAATCTGTAGACTCTGGCTGCCATTGGCTTGGTTGGTGCGACTGCTGTCAAAGAGTGGCTAGTCGGGGAGCAGAGCAAAAAGTGCAGGCATCCCACAGCTTCTCACGACAGGGCCGGTGATGCGTTGTTTTCGTTCAGGGGTGCACTCACATGTAGAGATTTGTCTTACACCGATCTTGCTTCCGCTTGATTGTCACAGCAGTCATCACTAACCTGGTGTTGCGACCTCTCTCCTATTCTCTCCTTGTTGCTTGCTACTACCAATTCCATTCGCAAATAGTTGCATCGCCAGTTGAAACGATCTTTGCCACTACTACAACCAAAAATAGCACTGCTCAACTGTTCTTCCTAGCACTGGCGACAACAGCGCTCTACTGCTACAGGATTTGTAGGAACTGTTGCTGTCTGCTTACTAAGTTCGCCATCACATTTACTACTTCATAGTGTTTGATTCATTTTATCACAATTGTGTCATGTTGTTGTCGCGCGTTTTGATACTCGTTGTGGTTGTGACGGTGGTAGTTGAGGGGTGGTGGTAGCAGGGGTGGGGGTTCTTTTTGGCGGTCGTCGTCAAAATCGTCGTCGCCGTGGTCAAACTCATGTCGCTCCTTCCGTGTATTTCAGATCTCTGGGAATCAAAGAACTGAGATTTTGAGATTCTCCAGATTTCAGCTTCTGAAACATGATTCATGAGCACACAATACGTCTGCCCGGTCGAGAGAACATGCGACATGCGCAGAAACAGCTGAGGAGGATGCCTACAAGGTGACACACGTGCTGCTCCCAGCTGAGCCACTGAGCCAGCCCAAAGGCTGCTTCAAAAAAGCATCAGCCGTTATTCCGTTCGCATGAGACGGCTTGGGGCAGAGTCTGCACCACGTAGCAGTGTGTCTCCACCTACATGCCCTAGCACTTGCCATGGCATGCTGCACTTTAGCCAGCAATTACTTGTTGGTGCTTTGTGGACACACCAAAGACTATGGACTCTTCCAACAATTCCAGGGACCTGAGGGAGGCCCGAATCAGCCATTTGCTTTCAGAGGCACAAGAACACCAAAGTGAGGATTTTCGTGGACATGTTCAATGCTGCTGCATCACTGAAGTATTGAGGAGAGGAGAACGGCCTCCCGGTTAAATCAATTACCCAAACAAGCCATGGAAAATCTTAACCCTGCATCAGGAAGAAGCCCATCCACGGACTGCGAGGACTCACAAGCACAAAGGAGAATTGATGGCTCATGGTGGCCTGTTGGTAAGGGCACTATGGGCGGTGGCTCCTGTTTGATAGTAAACTCACCTAGCACTTCGATTCTACAAGTTGGCAAGGCCCAGCCAGCCAACTATTGGTCGATTGATTGTGCCGGACCCAACACCTGATAACAAATCGGAGCGGCACAGATCCGTTCAGCCGCCCATCTGCAGGTCAATTGTACTCTGAGAGTTCGACCTGTGATGAGCATTGGCGAACACATGTCCGCAGCGCACAAGACTGATCACAGAAAAAGTGAAATGCTTTCTAGACTGGGTGGAAGTTTCGATTCGATTCAACAACTTGGTGTGCAAAACTCACATGATGTCGGAATCACAAGGAATCAGGCCCCTCGGCGCTTGTTTACCGCGACGCTGTGCACTCTACCGTCGATAGGAGTCAGTGCAGCCATGCAGCGACGCGCTAGCCTTTAGCATCTGGCTACGTGCCAAGGACCTGACAGAAAGTGGAGAAACAAACTGCAAAGTGTCAAAAGTTGTTGAGCACCCGGTCTGGTTCAAGCTGGCATGCAGCACGAGAAAATGAGGCGAATCCATTCGAAGCCGATCTCCGCCAGTGCTTTACTTTAGTTGCTACCCAGCGATCAAACGCAGGCATGTTGCTGATGCGTCCTGTTGATCATGGCAACCCATAGCTTCATTGAGGCTACGTCCTCCCAGAGTCCTGCCGGCAACACAGAGATCAAAGAGGCTCCAGGTTTGGGCTTCCATCTCGGGTGAAGGATGAGTCGGGGTCGATGAACTTGAAGTTGCCAACATTGCGACAGAACTAGGGCCTCACGCAAACGATCGTAAGTCCTACAAGGATACTGTGGAAGCCATGAAGGTTCTGCGTTGGCACTCGCTCTCGCCGGCTGAAGGAGTCGGGCCATGTCTGTCCGGTCCTACCCCGCTGCCGGCACGGAAGGTCGTGTGCAGAACGCCAGAGGAGCTCCACACACACCTGCTTTCGAAGCTCGGCCGAGTGTACTTCAGCACAATTGAACCCCTCCGTAGTGCACAGCATTATGATTCACGGAACTGACCCTCCCAGTGCGTTTCTGCACCTACCAGTGCAGCCGTATGGTGCGCGGCAAGTCAAACTTTCTCGCTAGTTTTCGCTTCATACCCTGAAGGTACCCGTCCTCATTCTTCAACATGTCTTCTATCAGCGGTTGGGGATGTTGTACCACTCGTGTGTCTCTCGATTGCCACACATGCACACACGCACACACGCACACACACACACACACAAACACACACCAGGTCACAAACTTTGGCCAAGTGTATGCTATGTTTCCACCTTCAACACAGTTTCAGGGGACCTGTGTGCAGCGTACAGTTGTGCAACCAACATGGGCACGAATGAGAGTTCATAGAATACTGTGACACATGCTATCTCGTGGCCTTACTCCACAATGCCGGCCGACTTAGCTAGCTGTGCCACGACAAAGCATCTCGACCGTCCAAAGACCATCCCTGCACCTGAATGTGAAGGTTCTCTCACCTCGGCAGGGGCAGTTCGTGACATGGCATCTGCCATTGCAGAAAAAAGCAGCACCATTTCTCTGCATGCAGCATCGCAGGATTTCACTGCTAACTAAGCCCGTCGCGGCAAAAGCCCGGATCCTGCACAGCCTTAGCACTGAGAACAGGAAAATCCCGTGCGCCAAGCCCGCATATCTCCCCTGCAAGCGACGGCTGCTCCGTCCCGGGACGCCGGCCCGGAGATCTCTCAACTTCAGCACTTCCAAAGGAGACTCTGAACTCCGATGCCAACTTTCCTCGTCCTGGGGCTTAGGTTCAGTGGCACGCGAAGAGACGGCCAAACCACTGCAACGGACAGACGGAGTGCACCCGAAGATCCTTGTAAACTTGCAGCTCATCAGCCTTCAGCACGCCTCAGGATCGGCAGGACCTATACCAGCAGCCAGCAGCTACCGGCCTTCAACGGGATGCCCGTGGCTTGCGGCTGCTTACTCGTCTCAAGGCTTCACGGAAGCACTCATGGTGATGCAAAAGCTGCATTTTTGGCTGTCTATACTGTTTGACCAAGAGGCCAAACCGCTGATACCAGCCAAAGAAGCGGCCCTTCTGTTGCAACTCGCCGGTAATCAGCACATCATCCTGTTCTCGCGATTCTCAATGGCTACAGCACTGGTCGTTCTTGCATGCTCCAGACATGAACAATTCACAGCATAGTCACATTGATGCTACCTAGCAAAGACGACTTGACTTCTGCTGCAAAGCCTGGGTGCGGTGTGCAGGAATTCTGCAGCTCATGATCTGGTGGCCGTGTATCGGGTAGTTGTATGATCTCAATAGAGTCAATAGAGGCGATGTATGTCCAAATGATTGTCATAAAGCACCGGTCCTGGTCCAAAGGCTGGCCATACAGTAAGAATCGCCCACGCCTCCAGTTGTTCTGAGGCCGACCTTGCAACGGCCATTCGCTTCCCTTTCCCCCTTTTTTGGTCGTCTGCAGCCTCGCGCCTGGAGGAGGCCGAGCCTTGAGACTCAAACTTTCGAAGCCTCGGTGCAGGTATGATGATATGCGAGAGCTTCATGCCCGCTCCAGCAGGAGGTAAGCTGAAACGACTCACCCTCACCTTCCCTGGTTTGCTGAACTCAATCCGGTGGCGTGGAGATGGGTCCTCTTCTTTCTCAACCTGACCAGCCACTGAAGCAACGGCAGTAGGCACTCTCAAACGGGCTGAGGCTTCTTCCTTGAGGATTGCGAGCTGCTTAGAACCGGGAACTTGGCCAAAAAAGCACGAAACGCTTTTGTCCCGCCGGCCTGGGAGGATGCTCGGAATTGCCTCGGCTCCCATAGCCTAGGGCCTGGTTAGGGACAAGGATGGCCTACTACAGCAGCACTTCCCTTATGATGTGATAGGGCGCATGGTACTTACACCCCCTTTTTGTTGCTTTGTGAATGCATTCGGCATGTAGTCTGAGATCGGCAAAGAACAGCTTTGGAGGCATTTTGAACTGTGACTCTGCTTCGCCTTGGTCGGCGCTTCTGCCGGGGAGCATTGAAGCTGTCTCATGAGGATGAACTTGCACTGGAGTGCTGCCTGGCATGGCAAGCATCTAAAATACCATATCACCGCACAGCACGCCGCCAATCCGATGATGTTGTACGGCAGAAACACATTCATTTGATGCCAAAAGGCCCGAGGTGTCGTCGGACTGAGTTTGGCTGCCTGGAGAAGCCTCAAAGATAAACAGAGAGAGAGAGATAGAGAGAGAGAGAGAGAGCTAGACAGTCATCATGATGTTCGCTGGGCATACTCACAAACAGGTCTTGCCCCTGCATCTGCGAAGTTCGTAGCGTTTCCAAAGACTGTGGTGCACATCGTGTACAACAGTTTGTGACACTCCAAGGAGCTACGGTGGTCATCAGTGCCGTCGACTCATCTCGGGAGAAGCTCTGAACTGAGGCAGTCCTCTGCAGGTGATTTTTGTGCTTCGTGCGCAACGAAGTCGCTCCGGTCCAGAAGCATGAAAAGTTCTGACTTGCTCACATGACTCACGAGAACCTTAATTACATGTCGCTAGGGTGTTAGCTGCAGCGCCAAGAATTCCTGACAGCAATGCGAACCATTAGTCGGCAGCAACACGTCGGGTAGTCACGCTTACAAAGGCCACGTGTGCGCGATGTCTCCGCAGAAGTGTTCAACGACAAGTGGCGACTTCGTGACCTGTCTCGTAGGTGGTGCCGCCCTTGCAGAAGAGGACTTGAAACAAGCAACGTGCTCTGCCGCTACACTCACTTCGCGAGACATCGTGTGTCCATGAACATATCATTTTTGGGTCGGATTCAAGGCAACACGCACATGTCGCAGCCAAGTGCTTCCGAGTCTCTTAAGCTCGAATGTCATTGACTCAACAAGGTGCGGAGGAGCACCCTTTCGTCTTCTGAAGCTGGCCGCTAGGCTTTAAAAAAAAGGCCGCGGCTGAGCGGGCAGGCTTGCAACACATCAGGCAGTTCCACAGCAATGACCCGGACCAGGATGACGTGCAACAGTCAAAAGGTCTGACAATGGAGTCTCAGTAGAGGCAGATGGCAAACAAGACGAGCATCACCACCACCATCACCAGCCACTGCGACAGTTGCATAAATTGCAGCCTGCTACGTCGGCAACAGCGACTGCGTAAAGCTGTCAGCTGCACAAAGACACCCTGATCAACAAGCCACCAGCGACGACAACAGGAGCATTCATAGAAAGCCTATCTCTGTCGTAAACAGCAGGACCATTTGCAAAAGTCACCGGAAAAGGCAATACTTGCAGCTAGCAGAAACAGCAAAATGAGGAGTCTGTCTGCAGTTACATCTTCGCAACATACTGGTTGTTTGTTGTATGCCAAGCTTCCATGGCTTCCAGGCCCTTATGGCGATACTATACTGAAACTCGCATCTATCAACTTCACAAACAGCACACCTACACTCTGGAGTCAGGCTCTGCACCAGAACGCTTGTGCATAGGTAGCCAAGATCAGCAGTTGCCCGACCTGGGCGAGATTTTGAAGGAACCAGGGTGTAGCGTCGGAAGCTGAGTGACAAGGGCTCATGTGTGGAGGGCAGGACTGCAATGATAGAATCTGGCAGTCGAAGTGCCAGTCTGGGGTAGCAAGACAGAATGCAGAACACGATTGAAAAGTTTAGGCATCGTCGCCCTGCCAGTCTTCGGGCTGTGGGTCTGGTAAGGAGCAAAGCAAAACCCATCTTCAAAGGCGGCTCTGAAGGCCTTCAGAGAAAGCCAATCCTTCTCGAATTTGGACATGGACATGGATGTGTCATGATGTGTCAAAGGCTTCAGCCAGCAGCGCGAGGTACGGAAACCTGCAAGATTCAACGTGCATCGATTCACGCACACTTTCGCATTGGGCCTAAGTGCAGTGCATCATCTTTTTCCGTAGACTTTGCGACGAAGGTGTGAAGAGAGTTCCGGAGAACCTCTTGCAAACAGCTGGGTGACGACAGCCTCAGCCAAGCCATGGCCCCCAAAAGGGAAGCCTTTCCTGAGCGTCTTCGAAGACTGTGAACATCTGCTCTTGAAGCAGCTCCTCTGGGATGAGGCCTGGCTTGACACCAGCATCTTTTTCAAGCCACTGCCAAAAATTGCCTCCATATATGATGTTGTCCTCAGAAAGCAGGCTTGTGTTTGCCCAGATGCCAAGCATAGTCTGGGCATTAAAGTTGGACAAAAGACTTGTGCGCTACATGTGCGTGAAGCATACATGGCAGAAAGGTGTCACCGGCAGCAACTGCATCCCCTCAAGCGAAATCCATGGCACTGATGCTGGAAGAGAGTTCAAACTAAGGCCAGGTCTGAGCATTGGTGCATCGACAACACCGGAAGCCCGGGCTCATGTGGTATGGAAGGCATCATGCGATGACCACGAATGGGAACCAAAGCATGCAGCGAAGCTTGCTTCCGGACATCCTCCAGGTTCCGGCTCTTTACAAACTCCCAGATTGCGTCCGGAACATCTCCTTCCTCTTCGGGCGTGGCATGCCACTCCTTCTGCTGGGAAACCGTGTCGGCTGTGGACCCAACGATTACCTCATCCTGGATGAGTTTACGCCAGTTGTGCCACCCCTCCGCCTCTGGCAGACCAACTTGCAGAAATTCCCTCAACTCGGGTGGGAAGGTAAAGCCAAACTTCGCCTCGGCTTTCCTGATTTCTTCATCGGACAGGCCAGGCGTAATCTTCACGCCCATGGAAGCCTGTGCCACAAATCGCAGAAGATGCGAGACAAGAGATAAGGAGAGCTCGACGCAGGCAGCTAAGCGCTGTTAGATCTAGATGCTTGGACTTGATTAGACTTGCTGTGTGCCTGCATCTCCTTGATGTTCTCGGTGAAATCCTCGCAGCAGCGAAGCAGTCAGTTGCTTCAACTTTAGGGTCTTGCACTCAGCTTCTCATGTTCCATCTGTACATACGCAGCTGCAGCGCTGCCTGTGTCACCACCTGCAGCTGGACCTCACCTTTGAGACCCTGAGATGCCAGAGTCGACTCGCCCTTGAGGACTTCGCCGTCCTGCAAGGGTCATCGTCGCTACGGCCGCTATGAGTCTGACATAAGACTCAAAAGCCTTCACCAGTTGGATCCGGTGGGGCTGCTTCCGCATGCCGCGAGCCACGAGAAGCCGCAGGGACTCGATGCGCTCGCCTTGTTTCCACAAATCTTGCAAAACCCGAGGGAAAGCGGGGGTGTGTCCCAATTGGCCCCTGTAGGCGTGTCACTGCCATTGAGACAACAAAATTGTCGAGAGGCTTGCAGGGTCAGCTCTTGTAAAATTGTAAACCTGTGAATCTCGTATCGGGTTCCGGGAATTGTGCCCCAAAGGAGACGGTTAAGTTACATAGATGTGCTTACGCATCTAGTCAGGTATCTATCTACTTGGTTAGTGAATTGTTTGGGTTATTAGTTCCTAGTTCGCTAGTTTATTCGTTCGCTCGTTTGCTCCCGCGTTCGTTCGCTAGCTGGTTAGCAAGTTAGCTAGTTCGTTAGTTTGTTAGTTCGTCAGTTAGCTTTTGTTGGTTGGTTGGTTGGTTAGTGGGTTAGTGGGTTAGTGAGTTAGTGAGTTAGTGAGTTAGTTAGTCAGTTAGTTAGCTAATTAGTTAGAATTAGTTAGTTAGTTAGCTAGCTAGTTAGTTAGTTGGTTAGCTAGTTGGTTGGTTAGTTAGTGTAGTTTCGTATTAAGTTTGGCGTAGTTGGTGTTAGTTTAGTTGAGCTGTACTTAGTTCGTAAGTTAGTTAGTTGGTTCGCCAGCCAGCTAGCTAGCTGGATGTTGTTCTTTAGAATGGCTGCAGCCCGTAACTCTCAAATCGCCTTGCCCTTCGCCCTTGCGGGCTCTTGCACCCACACGGTTTTAGACACATTCCCAACTGCTAGGTACTTGTAGCTTCTTACACTGCTTGTCGCCGTTGCGCTCGCCTTCCGCCGTGCTGACTTTGCAGCAGGTCCTAAACTTAGGCCCTAAACCTGCGTTTAGAATGTTAAAATGCGCTGTTAGTCTACGGTCAAGAGCAGAGGGTTTGGAACAACTCTCACCTGGCTAGCTAGCTAGTTAGATAGATCGCTCGTTCGCGGTTCGCTGATTGGTTCGCTGGCTGGCTGATTAGTTATCTCGGCGCTTAGAGGATTAGATAGTTAGTCGGTCAGTTGGTTAGTTGGTTTGTCGGTTAGGTTGGTAGGTTGGTTAGTTGTTTGGCTGGTTAGTTAGTCAGTCAGTTGGTTAGTTGGTTGACTGCTTGGTTGGTTAGTTGGTTAGTCGGTTAGTTGGTTGGTCGGTTAGTTGGTTGGTTGGAGAGTTAGTTGGTTAGTTGGCTATTTAGCTGGTCGGTTGGTGAGTTGGTGTGTTGAGTTGTTTAGTTGGTAAGTTAAGTAAGTTAAGCAGGTGGAGTAAGTAAGTAAGTAAGTAAGTAAGTAAGTAAGTAAGGAAGGAAGGAAGGAAGGAAGTAAGTAAGTAAGTAAGGTAGGTAGGTAGGTAAGGAAGGCAAGAAGGAAGGAAATCAGGAAGGAAGTTAGTTAGTTAGTCAGCTAGTCAGCTAGTCAGCTAGTCAGTCAGTCAGTCAGTTAGTTCGTTCGTTGGTTCGTTAGCTAGTGATTTAGTGAGTGAGTGTGCGTGCGAGTGAGTGAATGAGTGGCTGAGTTAGTTAGTTAGTTGGTTAGTTGGTTAGTTGGTTAGTGGGTTAGGTAGTTAGTTGGTTCGTTGGTTGGCTGGTTGGTTGGTTAGCTACTTAGTTAGTCAGCAAGTCAGTCAGCAAGTCAGTCAGTTAGTCAGTTAGTTAGCTAGTTAGTTGGTTGGTTAGTTAATTAGCTAGTTGGTTAGCTGGTTGGGTAGTTTGGTTAGATAGTTAGTAGGTAAGTTGGTTGGTTAGTTAGTTAGTGGGTTAGTTGGTCAGTGGGCTAGTTTCTGAGTTAGTTAGTTAGTTAGTTAGTTAGTCAGTCTGTCAGTTATTTAGTTAGTTAGTTGGTTGGTTAGTTCGTTAGTTAGTTTAGCTAGCTAGCTAGCTAGCTAGCTAGCTAGCTAGGTTGGTTAGTTAGTTAGTTAGTTAGTTAGTTAACTAGTGATTTAGTCATTGAGTGGCTGAGTTAGTAGTTAGTTAGTTCGTTAGTTGGTTGGTTGGTTGGTTGGTTGGTTGGTTGGTTGGTTGGTTAGTTGGTTAGTTGGTTAGTTAGCTAGTTAAATAGCCAGATAACTGTTACATAGATCTGGGTTGTTGACCATGTAGGGTTATGAGGGCCTGGACCCCCTCTGGCCAGCTTCAGTCGGGCTCTCTTTCTCTCTGACTCTTTCTGTCGCCAGGGCTATGGCTCTCTCTCTTGTGTCCCTCTGCTTGCGTGCTTGCTTGCTTGCTTGCTAGGGGTATGGGCTCCCTGGCGAACCCTGGCCCGAGGGCCTACCCCACAACAGTTTGCGATCCAAAGGTCTTCGTGGCCCCTTCCGGGGTTAAGAGAACACGTGTTCCCCTGCTTGAGCTTGCAGACCCATCCCCGCAAGACACCCCTCCTAAACCATGACCGAGAAAAACCTGCAAGCTGCAATCGGGTCTTCCACGGTCCCTCCACATACAACTACTGGAGAGAGTCACTTGGCCTTGCTCACAAACTAACAGCAGGACACTTAAGCAACAGCCTCTCTCTCTCTCTCACCATCTCTCTTCCTTTCTGCAGGCCTAGTTAAGCCCCCGCGTGTGTGCATTGCTGTGTTACAAATGGGAAGTGCTAGATACGATCTGCCAAACCGCAGAACTGACCCTGCCTTATCGAACAGCAGACATATGCAAGCCCTGCATCAAGATGTAAGTCAGTTCGTCAGTCAGTCACGCTGTGGGCCGGTGGGTTGGCGGGCTGTTTTTTCCCCTACCGTGTTGCGGGGACGAGTCTATCCCTGCGTGAGGTTGCCAGGTTGGTGCCTTGGTTGGTTGGTCGGTCGGCCGACCGTTTGACAGTCGGTCGGTCGGAAGGTTTGCGCGCTCGTTTGCAGAGGCTACTGTTCACACGGGGGGGGCAGGGGGCAATGCATCGTATGTAGCCTCAATCGGCTGAACCACGTATCGATACTGGAAGCCTTCAAGGCGAATGCTCGCAAGTTGCAGTCTTCAGTCGTGAATTAAGTAGCTTGGTAGCCATGGGCACTCCTCGCATGGCACCCGCGATCTAGATGCCAAGGCACGTGCAGGAACATTTTCCGGGCCCCAAACGACAGATCCTGCGGCAGGCCACACAGGTGCTGCACGATGCAATGACTTGCGCATCAGTTCTGTATTGAGAACGAGTTCGGCTTTGGATACTCCATCCGACAGTTACCTCTCGACTTAAACCATTATAATCTCCATCGAAAGCAAACCAGGTTGTAGATGCAAAGCCGGGTCGTACTTTCGAAACATGCCCCACCGAAAGGCTCCCTTGAACCCTAGCAGGAAGATGTAGGAACCACTATCTGCCGGTGGGCCTGCGAGATTGTTCAAAGTGATGTTCACTGATTCGTCTTCCAGGGCGGCCGCCGAGTCGCCCACTTCGGGAGTTGTGCACGGCGTGCCCATGCCAATAGCAGACAGTGATGGTCCAATGTCCACATAAAAGCCGATGGCTGCGGAGATAAGGAGCCAAGAGGATGATCTGGGTTACGGCAGCCGGACATTGAAGAACGGGTCACCGCAACTGAGGACACGAAGATCCCTGGAGATTGCCCCTTTTTGCCTCTTTGTGCCTCCGGGCGTTCCCATCTGAACCCAAGCCAGCTAAGCTAAGCACAGGCTCAAGTTCCGTACTTCTTGGCCAGGCGGCCAGGTCCGAGCCGTTTCAGTCGTCCGAGTGTCAGACGCTGCAATAAACCGGCATTTCCTCTACAAACTCTACTGACTCTAGAGAACAGCAGAGATGAGAGCAGGCGTGCAATCTAAGCATACAGGAATCCGGAAGAACGGGGAGCCGTTTGGAAGGAATCCGAATGTTCAGACAAGCTCGCCTGCCAACGCTCGCTGCGCAGGCCGCGTGATCAGTCGAAACTGGGCATCGACGGAAGGGGTGGCGTGTCGCAATGAATCACGCTTCCTCGCAGCGCATGCGTGGAATCTTGCGGAAGCATCGATGCAACCTCAGTCGCACACAGCCGGAATAATCATGGCCCGTTCTATTGCTCTACGTAAGCCAGTTTCGTACTGTATACGGGTTCGCGGAGTATGACTTCCCAGGCCACAGACCTGTAGATCAACTCTCATATTCATTTATCTACACATTGCCATGTCGACTGACTAGACAGATCATGGCAACGGACACACCACGACATGTGCGCAGATCTTCTGCCAAGCCAAGAATCGCCAGGTTGCACAGACTGGACCGGCACCTGAAGCTTTATGGGATCCATCGTCACTGCAGCTGCAAAAGAAGGCGGTACCGCGTCTGTGGAGGGCTGTCCTGCAGAGCCGCCACGTGGTAAGCTGATGGCCTTCGAATGTGTTGTACTCTTGATCAAAAAAGACTGTTGGTCTCGCTGTCGCGGTGTGTGTCTGTCTCGTAGTCTGTCTTCTCTCGCCTTTTAATTTCTCCGTTCTTGATCCGTCTGTCCAACCTGCTGCGCGCGTCTGTCCGTGCCCTTCTGCCTGCTAGCTTGCGAGTAATTGGCTGTGCGCGCAAACCTTGTTGCTTAGTTTGTGTATTCGATTACTCTCTAATTTCACTCGCTGCTGTGGGCCTGCACACATTTGTCCGAACATAGGACGCACGGGCGCGGGCCTTGCATGTATGCAAGCTCTTCGCAATTCCTCTGTCTGCTGTAGCCAACATATCAAACCTCTGTCCTGCCTACTTGTGACTAGGATCCGCTTCCTGTCTATCATTTCACTGGGGGACAGCAACTACGGCAGTCTCCTCCTCGCGCCGGGACTTGGAAAAGCATGCTCTGCCCCAAACGGTAGTGCGCCTGCAGTGCATTGCAGGATCGGGCCGAAAGAGGTGTGCAAAGATGGGAGGCTGCCTACTCCTGATGACTCCGATCACCGGGCGACACAGTCAGCGACTCTCTGACGACAGCTCCATGTTGCTGCGAGCTTGCAGTGTAGCTACGGCCTGCATCAGATTCGTCGGTACCTTGAGCTCTTTCCGGGTTGCAACCTGCGAAGGCTCGGAGAATTACACTCAATAGCTAGGGAGATAGAGTCGGGGATTCAAGATGGCAGAGACTGGGCAGTGTGCAATCTGTGGATCTGAGCAGCGCCAAGCTGGCTCTCTTGTCTGCTTAAGGCTTCCTGACTTCACACCCCCGAGCCCTCGCTGCAGTGCGCTTTCAAGCTTCATTTCGACACCCCAGCGCCGCACTCACTCTCTCCCGTCTAACCGCTCTGTGTCGTTGCAGCCTCAAGTCGTGCACTACCGCAGGTTCTGGTCGGGTCTCCTATGACTGAATTACAAGGACCAGTCGCTGAGACCTTTCTCCACTCGCCACGCCAGAACTCCTGCAGCTCACAGGGGCGTTCGCATCATATCTAAACTCATGAGACCGGGCTGATTGATTAGAGTGATGATAGCTCGAAGCAAATTTGGACCCTCTTGTGTAGCCACGTGTCTGAATTATCTTACGATTGCATGCCGGCACCGATTAGTCTATGAACCTAGGCGGAACCCTATCCCTCAACCTGCCGCATGTGGCTCGCACCTCTGTGCGAGGGAATACTACCGTCTGCTGATTCTGATCGATCAGTGCCGTTGCCATGGTACACTGCTAACCGCTAAGCAAAAGTTGAGGGTGCGCCTTGAAAAGTGCAAGCCTCACTGCAACCGTCGCGCAGGTTTTCTGCAGAACTTGCCTCATCCGACTTTTGCTTCTCCGCCTGCTCACACTAGATGCCGGTGTCAGCTTTTCTGAACGCCAGGTGCGCACCCATGTGCATGCTGCTGAAGCAGCATGGTGAGGCCTAGCCGTCGAATTACATGGTTTTGGGTGTTTCGATTCCTTGTGATATACGAAACAACACAACAATAGGCGCGCTTGGCCAGTGCCCCCGTCAGCTACGCTCAGTTAGGAACCCAGCGTCTTCGACCCTTGCAGAGCCCACAACAACGACAGCCCTCCGAAGAAAAGGGCATGAACGACCACATGGCTAACATCAAGAATCATCGTTGATGTAGCTAGCCCGGAAAAGCTTAGTAAAAATAGAAAGCACTAGCAGCACTAGCAATTCCAATACTTGTTGGTGGAGGCGATGGCAAGACTTGCGACGATGACGAGGCTGCATAGTTTTCGTACCCTCTAAGTCAGTCCTTCCAAACACCTGGAGAGGCAAAGAAGGCCCAGCCGAGCTCAGCGCCCCTGCGCACCTTCAGCAGAAATCAGATGGAGTCAAGGCTTCGGGGTGATTTGCGGTGGTACCAGCATGCGGGGTATGAAGATTCCGGGCACAAAACGAGGAGGACAGAAACGGCAGCAGGATTCGTGCAGAAGTGTATGCATTAAACACTGTCCAAAATGAGACACATGCAGGCACCTTTGCAAAAAGCTTGATGGAAACGAAGTGAGCAATGGTCGGAGCTCACTATCAGTACCACACATGCGCAACCAAAGCAGCATATGGACCGTCGGGACTGGGGTAGGACGCACTCATCTTGCAGAAGTTCAGGGTTTTGGCCAAAATCCTGGTGTTTCAGTGCGCATGTTAGCCTATCCACGAAATAGAAGCCTTCATGAACGATTAGACGGGCTGGAATCTTAAGTTCAGAGACACTCAAGCTCGCAAGCGACTCACGAGCAGTATTGCCGGCCTTCTCTAAGAGGTCTTCATCCTTGTCCCACCTCTGGCAGATGGACCAGCGCTTCGATGGATGCTGCCAGTACACGAACACATCGCGGGATTCGTCCCAGAAGGTTCTCGCATCATTGACACGGGTGACCTGCGGGGACGCTGCAGATCACTGCATTTCTGAACTCTGGCCTGCTGCGGTTCTCATGAAGGTGCGAATGCGCTGACTGAGGTAAGAGCGGCAAAGACAGCCTTGAGATTTTCTGCGGGTGGCTCTGAGCACGATGTGTGTGTCTGCTGCCCACCTACCGGGACAGCGCACAAAGACAACATCGCAGAATCGCAGGACCTTCATCCCGCTAGAAGCTGTAAAGCATCACCTTCGGCGACGTCTGTGAATGGCTCGCTAAGAAAAACTGCGATCCGAGAGCTTTGCTGGCAATCGTAAACTTTGTCGTAAACTCGGCGGCTGGTCTCAGGATTTGCTATGCTGCTTGCCTGTCAAGTAGTCATACTGCTTTTTGGGTCCGTTCAACAAGTGCGCCAGACCGACCTCATAATTCGTGATGCTGTGTTCGAGGGAGCCCGCAGGCACCCAATCGAAAACACCTGCCGAATCCTCTGACTTTGCCTCGAAGCGTCCTTTCGGTGCAGGCATCCCGATAGCCTCTTGCACTACAGATCTTCTGCGGGGCGCGGGCGGTGGCACCGCATGTCTCTGAGATTTCTTCGTGGCTTGGGGAAGACATCGGAGAGCCTCCCTGAGCATCTCTTCTGCTGGCCTCCAGTTCACGGGAAGCTTTCTGCCATTGACGTGAGTCAGGATCCACCCTGGCGATACTTCAGGAGCATCCGGCCGGTCAGCCTTGGCCGTAACCACGTACGGATGGATGTGGGAGAAGCGGATGCCCAGTGGCTTTGAGTGGAACTCCACCTCTGACTCTCCAGTTCTAGTGGTGAAGGTCAGCAGCATGCTCTTTTGGATAGGATCACAGCCCGCATGCACAACCTCATCATCCTCGCCAACCCTATGGGAATTCAGAACCTCATGGGATTTGCTGGGTGATCCTGTTGTGACCTCACTTGTTGATGATGTGGGCCCGTACCCAAGCAGGACTTCACTTGCAGCGTCCGACTGTGCTTCGCAGCATAGCGCATGCATCGCGAAAGGGGGATCAAAGGGAACCCAAACTTTACACAACGGTTCCCCCTGATGGGCCGATCATTGGATGCCTCGAGCCGAGATGATACCTAAAGAGAGGGACCTGTGGCTTCGCCATTGAGCAAGCCCGACGACCTGAAGCAACAGAAGGCGCTCTGTGCCGAGGGCCTTGTCGGCGATGAAGTTGCGATTTAGCAGGTCTCTATGGAAGCCTGTCATCCTGCAGGTCTTGGGGTTCAGCTTCGATTTGGCGCTGTTTCCTTGCTACGCTGAATCGTGAGATCCTGGGGATGTCGGAGACCAGATTGGATGTAAGGTGATCTAAGTGCGGCGGCGATGCAATGGGTACTTCGAGGAAGCTCTACGTAACCCTCTTTCGTAATTCACCAAATATCCACATGCATACTCTAGAGAGAAACCCTCTCGGGAAATTTGTGGCTCAGGCTATAAGGGATCTATAAGGGTTTCAACGCATGGTCAATAGCCCAGTCTGGCCAGCAGAAATCCCATTTGGAGCCGTGAGCAAAAAGAGAGCAATCCCCAATCCAAAATTCGCGGCAGAGCCTGCGCTAGTATACCCTAATTTCCCCAAACCCACATCTGGCCGGGTCACTCCAAGGAAAGCACGTCCAAGCTGTCAGCTCCATCCCACGGCTCGAAGCCTTCCGTGCTCCCTCCCAAACAATGAGCCCAGCTTAGATGAACCTTACGGGGTCTTCAAGAGTTCCGAATGACGAGCACATACTGTATACATTTACAATGTATACTGTATACATATACATTTTTGGCACTCGCACTCGGCATCGCAGGCGAGGTATATGTATACATACCATCGTCGCGCGGCAAGACGTGCGGCAGCCTGTGGACATGACGGCATCAATCCGTATTGGCCGCAGCACTTGTGGTCGCAGTCGCGTCGTCCTCACCGTCGGTCGTGGCTGGTTGTCGCGTGTGGTAGCGGCCCCAGTGTTCAACAGTGTACGCCATCCGTATAATTATGGACCCTGCTGTACATGTGCATATACCTGTACGAATATCTACCAGCACGCAAGTAGGTCAGCACGTGAAGATGTGCAAGGGTGTGCCCGCGCACGTGTGCATGCATGCGTGCTGCCACTCATGCTTAGGCTATTGTAGATGTGGACTGCAACACGAAGAAGAAAATCCCCCCAAACCCAAAGCTAGGGGTCTGCACCTGCGGGCACCACCGCCTGAGGAGATGATGGTGTCTGCTCCTGCAGAGAGCCGAGTGGACTCTGCGCTTCCGTTAGGACAAGCCAGCCTTGCCTGCAGGGTTTAGGGTTTAGCGCCAATCTGGGACAAGCCAAGCAAGGCATGCCGAGACAGACATTTAGTTCTCAACCTGAGGCTAAAGCAGTTTGCCTCACCTTCTTTCTGGCAGCACCAACAAGACGACTAGTATCGAGTTAAGCAGGTACTTCAGCAACTTTCCCAAGGTACAGCCTGGGCTCAACTGTGCAGCACGCAAGGACGTGAAACCCACTCCTTCAGCACCCTTTCCGACGCCAGACTCTTCAAAATACAAGCATTCTCCTCTTCACGGCCCTCCAACCGAAGTCCCACCGCAAACACATGTGGCAGAACCAAGACCGTGGGTTAAGGCTTCTTCATCAGATGCTTGGTTCACTGCCTCACTGTGTGGTGTTGGTATACAGACCTTGTGCCTTCGACTTCCCAGCAAAATCCCTCCGCAAGTTCAAAACCTTTTGCAGGCCTCGGCGAGTGCCTCGCCGGAAGCCTGTCAGGGCAAGAGGCAGGCTCTTCCGCTTCTCTGGCTAGGCTAAGCACCTTTAGCTCGCCCATCTTCGGCGGCGTGGTCACGGGGCCACTCAATCATCGCGGGCCCTGTTTTCTGACACCCAGACGTTTGATCAATGGTAGAAGTTGGTCTGCAAGATCTGTTTATAGTACCAAATTCCAGCCACGAGCAGCTTTGCTTGACACACGGACACACATACTGGTAAAGCAACACAACCAGCAAAACACATCTGTGTATCTCAGCCGGAGCTGATGGAAATCGCGCAGGCTAAGAGCACTCACCTTCCTCATTCATCACTTCAGCTCTTACCCAATTACAGACATGCAACGCCAGACTGTCTCAAAAACATGTTTTTCCATCATCCCCGTGTCCAATCGGGGCAGGATTCCTTCTGCTCTTCTAAGATAATGAGCTCTCGCAACTTCCAAAAACCCTTTTGCATCCAGGCCTATTGCGACTGCCAAAAACCCTAAAGCCTAAATCCTGA